ATGTCCAAGGTAGCGGAAAAGGGCAAAGCACGAGCAGGGAAGCTGCATCCAATACCCTCAAACCGGCACCTCGATACACGCATCAAATTGACGGTTTTGAAGAGCGTAATCGTACCGCCGCTAGAGTACGCCGGAGAAGTATGGGAAGGAAATAAGAAGGTAGTGAAAGAACTCGAGGCGGCGCAGATGAAAGCAGCGAAAACCATCCTAGGATGCTCCAGGCGCACAAGTAATGCAGCCGTGAGGGCAGAATTGGGGATCCAATCCCTACGGTCGGGAAGAGACGCGAGGAAGCTGACATGGCAGTATCGCATGTGCGGGATGGGAGAGGAGAGGTTGCCGAGAATTGTATGGGAGGCGAAGTGGGCAAACAAAAAGAGGGGTAGACAACCCACGGAATGGGTCAAGGTTGTAGAGGACGTATGGAAGGGGCTCGACATCGACGAAGATGAAACGCTGGAAACGGAGGGTCTACAGGGGTTCAAGGAGAAGATATCTGTTGCTTGTGCCGAGAGAGAAGAACAGAATCTGAGGAAACAAATCAAGGATAAGGAGGGTCTAGAAGTGTACGGAATGTTGAAGGAAGGAATAGGGTTCAAGGACTACCTACATGGACCAATGGATGCAGGAACAAAGCTTAAGGTCAAATTCAGGACCGGGGACATAGGCCTTCGAGAACGTCGACGAAGACATAGGACGGTAGACGAGGAAGACGACGAGTTCAAATGTGATTGCGGCTTCGAATGCGAAGACCGTGTTCATGTAGTCGCGGAATGTCCGTTGTACAAGAAGGAGAGGGAAGTGTACGTGACTGAGCTGGGAAAAATAGATGGAACGTACAGGGAGATGTTTGAGGCATGGAATAGAGAGGAAAGGACGGTAGCTGTAGTGGGGCATAGAAGGTGGGTTGAAAAGGCGGGAAGAGATATCGTTAGGATAGACAGACTAGGGAAGACATTTTTGAGCCACCTTTGGCAAAGTAGAAAGGAACGATTGGCCATCGGTGATCGGTCCTGTGGGAACAATGCTCCGTCCTCTGGAGGATGCGTGGTCAATGGTCTAACCGCTAAGGCATGCAAAACATAAGAGTACGCCCCCACCCCCCGCCCCCCCCCGCGTACGGGTATTGTTATTCCACGTGACAGGCGTTCTCTTCTTGCTTGTTTGTGTCTGAGGGCTATTTTTTGGCGATGAACTACTGCTGCAGCAACGTGTGAAACAACAACAATCACAGCAATAAATGCAACAGTAACGTGTCTTCTTTTCCGACCCCGAACCAGCACGTGTTCCTCCGCGTGTTCAAACGCTGATCTGCAATCCTCCAACACTCCCCGAAACTGCTCCCCCAAATGCACAGAGCAGCTTGTTGAACGTGTCTGCCTTTCTCGAACCCTGGAACTACCAAGTACGTATTCCGCCTCGTTTTTAGCTCCCACACATATTGTAGTCGTTTAACACCCCCCGAACATACTGCCCGAAAATGCTGTGCACAGAGTACCGCGAAGGAGCTTCTGGACAAGCTGGGGGGCGCCTTGACCTTTCACGCCGAAAGGAAGTCGTCCGCTCAGGGAACCATGGCATCAATGTGAGTCAAACGATGGCTGAAACAACAGCCACGCAGGAAGGTCATTTACCGCATTCATCAGAGAGAGGTGTCGCCCCTCCCCCCTTGCCCAATGGCATGGAAGTGTACTCAATCAACTGAGCTGGGAAAAGTAGAAGGAGGTGCAGAGAGATGTTTACGGCATGGGATAGCCAGGAGAAGACGGTAGGTGTGCCGGGGCATAAGAAGCGGTTTGAAACGGCGGGAGGTGATATCTGTTGGATGGATGGACTACATCGGGAACATTTTTTTGAGTCACCTTTGGCAAGGTAGGAAAGAAGGACTGTCGATCGGCGGTAGGTTCTATGGGAAACACGCCCCGTCCTCTCGAGGGCGCGTGGTCAATGGTCTAACCGCTAAGGCATGCGAAACATGAGGTTGTTGCTCGATTGCTGCATATCCAAGGGGGTTCCGATGCCGACAAAAAGCGGTTGCGGGGCGACTGGTCGATATTCCCGCGAGCATGTATCCACACGTATCGGTAGGTTGCTTGCCTTTCTTGTGACATCCATCCGTTTTTTTTTTTTCCTCGTCAACGAGGAACGCAGGGCCGGCCAGATTGCTCACAACCGCAAGTTTTTCGGGCCAAATGCCGGCGCGACCAAGCAGGCAGAGGTGAGCATGCACGAGCATGGAAGCGGATCTCTTGTACGTTTTGGTGGTTTTGCTTTGCTTCCGCGCGCGCTCGCTGTCTTCGACAGGCAGAGATGATGTGTACCTTTGTATAGCCTCAGTGTGGTTCTGCCGCTCGCTGTCTTCGACAGGGAGAGATGACGTGTACCTTTGTATAGCCTCGGTTTGGTTCTGCCGCTCGCTGTCTTCGACAGGCAGAGATGATGTGTACCTTTGTATAGCGTCGGTTTGGTTCTGCCGCTCGCTGCCTTCGACAGGCAGAGATGATGTGTGCCTTTGGTTTGCCCCGATGTGGTTCTGGCGCTCGATGTCTTCGACAGGCAGAGATGACGTGTACCTTTGTATAGCCTCGGTTTGGTTCTGCCTCTCGCTGTCTCCGATAGGCAGAGATGACGTGTGCCTGTGGTTTGCCTCGATGTGGTTCTGCCGCTCGATGTCTTCGGCAGGCAGAGACGATGTGTACCTTAGCATAGATAGCCTCAGTGTGGTTCTGCCGCTCGCTGTCCTCGACAGGCAGAGATGATGTGTACCTTTGTATAGCCTCGGTTTGGTTCTGCCGTTCGCTGTCTTCCGCAGGCAGAGGTGAGCAGGCACGAGGACGGCGCAGAGAAGATTTGTGTCTTTTTTTCTTTGTTGGCTTCGGCGTGGTTCAGCAGCTCGCTGCTTTAGGCGTGGCCTCCTTCCCGCGGGCGAACGTCAAACACGAGTTTCAGAAAGAAATATACGAAGAAAATACCCAGCATGTACACAAGAAAGAGGTGTAGTATGTATCACCCGAGGGCTCCTGATTTCCAACTTGCTAGGCCTGTTCACTCATTCACACGTGTGTGTAGTTTATGGTCTGCGGAAGGACAACAATCACTGATTTTTTGTCAATTTCTCCTGAATCTGGCTGGTTATGGTCTGCGGTAGGACACACAATAACCGATTTTTCGTCAATTGCTTCCAACCGTGGCTGCTGTGTGTGGTGGGCAGTCGATCTGCGGAAAGACACAAAAGCCAACAATAGTCAAATGCTTCCTATCGTGACTGCTGTGTGTGGTGTGCAGTCGAGCTATGCCGAGATGGAGGGCTACGCTCAGGATTCGTCGGACAAGATTTTGGCTATCGTCGACCAAACCCGCAAGCTGCTAGCGAAGATGGAAATGGACTTGTCACGTGAAGACATGGATGAGCTCATGGAAGGTACGCCAGTCTTGTTTCTTACAGCCAGACATAACAAAGTCGTCTCTTCCACAGATAAAGTGTCTGGGATAGACTAGCAATGAATTAATTCATTGCGTCAGCGTTTGTTTGGATGTTTGCTTCATTTCTGGAAACTGTTCTTCGAGCTGTACTATTATTGCATAACGAGGAAAACGGTGTACCCGAAATTTGTGTAGCCACGCTAAACATATGAATATATCTAGAATCGACGACGCTAAAATAGCTTCCGGCGGTAAAAGGAGGATGATTTACACTTCACGTTGTGCGAACCCACATTTCCCAATCGCACAGCAAGACAATGCTTTTACTTCCTTTTGCTATATACGAGTATTTACCCATCGAGAAGTACAGAGCCGAACGGGTTCTTCGTGGGATTATTATTCTCGTAGCAGATACTTCGGCGAGTTTCGTGATGTTTTCCGAAACCTTACGAGGAATGTACAATTCCTCACAGACCACACAACGTCGACGTCTTTCGTTGCCCTTTTATTTCCCTGTTGGGTCCTTTCGGATTTCGACACCTCTTTCCAACGTTGGAAGCAGACAGCAAGCACGTTTTTGTGACGCTTCCGAACCCCTACAATACCCGGAATGAACAATAAACGAACCCTCACAGACTACAACCTTGATATCTTTCTGCTCCCCCCCTATATTCAGTACCCTTTTATAGTTCGATGTATGTCTCTTGCCGACTTTGAAAGCAGCCACCAACAAACCCTCACAGAACACAACCTTGACATCTTTCCCCGCCCTTTTTTTGTACCCTTTTTTTCGAATTTCGATGTCTTGTGTCGACGTTGAAAACAGAGAGCAAACACATCCTACAGGGAAGGGAGGACTTGATCAATCCAAATGGCGACGAAATCAAGCCGGACACGCTTCGGAATGCTCTGCGGGACGCTCGTGTGGAAGTGTCAAGCACGGGTGACTGCCGACCCATGTAACTGAAAGTCGGCGGCGGCGTGATCGCTAACGGTTGGCGGTGGATCCCCATGTGACGGAAAGCCGTCCTCACGATTGGTACCGGTCGGCATGGTGGTTGTTCTCGTAAACCTAATGCAACGGACAGCCGTCGGACACGATTGCTGCCGGTTGGAGTGGTCGGTCGTCTGGTGGACCTCATGCACCAGAGAGGCGTCAGCACGATTGCTTCCTGTTCACATGGCTATGCTTGATGTGGATTGTGGGCCTCATGTAATGGCAATCCATCGTCACATTTACTACCGGTTGGCATGGCAGTTACTCTTCTTGTGGATTCCACGGCCGCTGTGGCTACGACCTCGTAAACCCTACCGAGATTCTTGTCGGCATTTTTCTCCTGCCTCGCCCACACCCTTTTTTGTCTTTTTGCGAACTTTGTATTTTTATTTTTTTTCTTCGCGAATGGTAAGACCTTTTCTGGATCATTTTCTCTCTTTGTGTACTCTTGTTTTGGGGGTCCTAGAGGTTGTAGCCGATGACACTGGTTTCACTGACTTCGAGGGTACGGAAGAGAAGCTTATAACGGCTCTCGAGGCGAACACGACAGCAACAACAGCAGCCACTATCGCGGTCTCAAGAAAAGCTTCTCGCCGTTGGCTCTGGCAGATTGTTCGAGTTTTTCTCGGCTGTGCTGGTCCGGGAGGATGTATCTCAGTGTCATGAAGTCGGAAAGAAAGGAAAGACTTGGGCAGGACTGTTGCTGTTGATCAGTCGGCCGTGAGCATCGTCGGTTGGCGGCTTGACGTCGCCCACGTAGTAGTAGTCGTCGTTGTCGCCTTTGCGTTGTTCTTCTTGCTGTTGGTCCTGTTGTAGCTGTCGTTTTTGTCGTCGTCGTCATCGTCGAGGATGTTGCTGCTGATCAGTCGGCATGGGCGTTGTCGGTTGGCAGGTTGACGTCTCCCACGTGGTTATCGTTGTGGTTCTTGCTGTTGCTGTCGTTTTCGTCCTAAACGTGGATTTTTTTTTTCTGACGATGCGTCGGCACAAGCGTTGTCGATTGACAGATTGTAAGTTTGTCGCTGTCATCACTGCGGTTATCGTTGTCGACGTTGTTGCTGTTCTTCGGCACGAGCGTTTTTGCGGTTCGCAGGCTGTCGGTGTGGTTGCTGTCGCTACTGCTGCTACTGCGGTTGCCGTTGGCAGTGTCGCATTTCCCGAGCGATCGTGCTGACCTCTTCTCAGCACCCAATCTTGCGCGCGAATCAGTTTCAACCCGAAAAGACGTGAAAAACTGCTGCAGATGTGATGATCGATCGCCCTATGGGTTGGATATCGGTTTAGGTTGGCTTGACACGTTGGCGGTCAGCACATGGATGTCGTTTTGTAGGCTCCTGCGTATTTTGTATATATTTTTTCTGAACTGTTTTGCTGCTGGTTTTGTGCAGTGTCGGCTATCACGTCAGACAGCGTCGAGTAGTTGTTTCTTTAGTCCTTTTTATAGTTGTTTGGTGTTGTCTGTAGTTTTATCGTCAGCTTCCCCACTGGAACTTGATGAGTGACTGGGTGTTGTTTACTACAGGAGTGAAGGAGATAAATTCAGCAGATATAGTTGTCAAGTCGCAAGAAGGATGGTGATGATGGCGGTGACGGTGCCGGTATATTTTTGAATGTTTCTTTATTGTCATCCCTTTTCTTCTGGATGTCGGTCCTTGACTGTGGCAGCAGTTGGATGGCCACGACTATCGGGGTGCTATAGAACATGTTTTTGTAACAAAGCGGGGCACGCTGGGGTAGTGGGGAGGATGTGTCGTGATCTTGGTGCCGATGGCGATGATGGGGAGAAAGGAGTCGCCCTCTGGGCATGGTTTGAAGACGTGTACCGCCGGAAACTGTTCTGATCTGCGTGATCTCGGGGCAAAGACGCGCAAGTTTTGCACCGCTACGCGCCGATACCCCAGGTGTCTGGCAAGAGTACCGTCGGTTGCTTCAGATATCACACCCCCTGGGCCGATTTTCAAAGCTTGGTTACGCGGCTCGGAAAGCAGTGGCTGTGCCGATAATGGCGAAGTTGGAACCGTCCCGTCGAGAGCTTTCCGAACACGCATCGTTGGCCTTCGGCATCCTCTTGGTCGTGGAGCAATCGAGCTTTGATAATCGGTCCAAGGGGGTGTGGTATATTGTGCAACCTACGGTAGATGGGATAGGAAAACAAGAAAAATCGGTGATGGGATGACATGAGAAGGGATATCACTGCAGGATGGGAAACGCAGCGTCGCCGTGCTGCCTGTGAAGCGCATCGCCTGCCCGATGATGGGTGTCTTGATTGACACGAGCCCTTACTTGCATGTTGAACGTCGATCTTGAGGGGACGATCGGTGCTTCATGGGCGTTGGTGACGCTGTCGCTACTTCACGTGTGTGTTAGCAGGGTGATGATGGTGTTGGAATGGCTGAACGAAAATAGTAGATAGTGTCGATGTTATCTCTGAAAGACCGGCCTCGGGAAACAAGCAAACGTGACATGATGGCGCTTGATGATTACCGTGATGGTGGGGAGAAAGGAATGGCTCTGTGGATGATTGAAGACGAGCACCGCAGAGAGGGCTTGTCTTTGCTAACCCATGGGCCGATTGCTGTCTGTATAAGCTGTTGCATCGTCTCACCCGACCATTCGTTTCGCGTTCGGGTTGCTGGTTTAAAGAGCTCGAGGGGAGAACCGTGTGAGCCAGCCAACAGCAGACATGTGTTCCTTCGGTCTCACGACGAGACATGCGCAGGCTCACAGTCAGTCTTGGTTGGTCACAAGTGATGGCGTTGCTTTCAGCGTTTGGGTTCGATTCCTTTCGTCACGATCGGCCGTGGCCATAACTACATGAGGGCGGGGCCATGGGGGGCTCCGCGATTTCAGGGTCGTGCGACACCCTAGCCCTCCCCTTCCAACTTCGCAGTTGATCGGATCTTTTGAGCATCTCTCGAGCGCTCATGCTGCTGTACAATACACCGCGTTTTGTTTTATGGATTCGAAGCGCCGAGGAGCACACACAGATCGAAAACGTTTGTTCCCATGGGTTCGTGTCATCACCGAAGGGCTTTCGATCACTGGAGGAGTGTAAAAGGCTTTTCGTTGTTGTATTGGAGCTTGGCGTGGAGGTGATGACAGCTAGGCGGGGGTGATTAGACATGTTTCGTCCACTCCTGCTGCTGCTGCTGCTTTTTTCAGGGATGTTCATATATGTCTCTTTCGTGCGGCAACGGGGTACTACAGTTAGTAGCTGGAAACGATGAAGTAAGAGGGCGCCAAATGGCAGGGGTCTGTGTAGCCTTCCATCGAGTAAAGAGACGCGCGTGGCTGATCGGTTCATCGAACCGCATCATGGCCACACAAGTGAGCCTACTAGACGGAAGGAAGGGGAGATGGGGATGTAAGTCTGGCACGAAGGTCCGAGGTTCTTGTAAAGTACACAGGTGCCCAGTGGGCACGGTTACGGGGGGGTTAACGTGACATGTAACCCCTAGGCGTTGTGCAACCTGCGTAACCCGGTCGGGCGCACCTTTGCCAACCTCCAAGGTTAGGCAGGGTTCCGAAACGCCGGTCCAAACCCAGTCAAGGGAAATTTGTATCCGTGCTTGGTTGCAGGCGAGGTTGTCCAAGCCCGAGAATGTCCATGCCTTGCCGCGAAAACTATGTACCAGCCGGTGTCCACAGAGTACACGACACACCGATTTATCGGACATTCGCGACATATATAAAAAAACAAAACGCTGTCATCTCGCGCGTCGCCAAAGCTGCCGTGGACAAGCACCCCAAAGCGCCAAAACGTCTGCACACCACCAATGCTGCAGCACCGAGTCAATACTTTTTCCATCGCACCCGCCGGCACACCGAGAAAAATCTTCCAGCTAGCGCTGAATACAGGGGTGTTCTGCGAGCAGAACGTGTCGATCACTTTGCCCACACGCGCGGGGCGGCCGGGCTTTAACCGAAGTAGAACTACCAACCCCCCGGCGTCATCGTTTTCGAGTGGAAACGTCAAACCCAGGGACACCAGGGTAGGGAGCACGTACTCGGACAAGCCAGCAGGCCATATGACATGCGCCAACCTGGGTTCGAGGATACCCTCGCTCTTGAGCCTGCGCCACGAAGCGATGGCATTTGTAAGACCGATTTTTGTATAGTTGACTAACGTTGGACGCGCAAAAATAAAAACACTACACCCCCTCCATCTCCGCACCACCAGTACTATTTTCAAAGGGACCTCCTCGTCGCCGCTGATCTACAACTAACTGCCCATCGTTCACCCCGCGAGTAGCCCCTCACCACTTCGTGAGTGCTCATTATATCTTGCCACTGTCGCGTTTTGGGGGCTCTGTTCTTACACCACAAAGAAATGCGGGTTCGTTCTTGTTCTTAACACCACGTCGGGCCTGAGCACGCACGTGTGTGTGTTGTTGTAATTATTAATTTGTCGACAATTTCTTTGATTTTGACTTTTTTCGAGGCCGCATTTCTTAACTGCCAAGTTCTTAAGTGCGAGCGCCATCTTCATCTTCTGATGATCATGATGTAGTGCCGGAAGCAACAAAGACAGACATGGGCCTACTCTATTTGATATATATGTTGTTGCGTAGAAACACGCACGGCAACGATTGGGGGGTAAAGCAAAGACCGAGAAAAAAAAGAGAGATAGAGTAGGCGATGATATACTACCTACGCACGCTGCCTCTCTCGAAAAAGTCAATACGACAACACGTACGTACGTCTGCCTCCTTACAAATATATAACAATAGTGGTCGAATGTAGTATTATTACATAATAATATGATCTCTGCTGAAAACAATTGCGCGCTCAGCATTGTTAAAAATTCTATACTCCGTATACTATATGTTGTTGCTGCTGCTGTGGAACATAAAAACTTAGCTGACCAAAAACTTGCCATTGAACGATTCGTAATGGAGGACTTTATTTACTCGGAGTTTCTGCTTTTAGCGTGGGGGGGACCGCATAGTACAAATGTGCTCTCATCGGCCGCGTGGGTGGTGTTGCCACCATTATTATTATTATTATATAGCACCATTGTTTCCGCCCCTACTATATATAAAAGCATAGAATTTGGTGCATCAGCCGTAGGCTTCAACATGTAGCATAGCAGTCAACCGTTAGCTTATTCAGGCCCGAAGTTGCTGGTTCGATCCACCCCATGTTATGTTCTCTTCACCGATCAGTTCGACGTAGAGTAGTGCTAAGCGGGGAATTGGGTAACTGTAACACATTAAGTGCAAGTTTTCTGAGGTACATCTGCAATTGTCGGAAGGCAAAAATAAATAAATAAGGATTGAATACAATGTAGCAATGGAGGGGAAGACTCACACATACTTTTTTCTTTTCCCCTCCTTCATTCACACCAATCCGCGCACGACCGCTTTCTTCATAACCTGGTACGCGTTATGCTCGCTCGGCCTGTAACCCCCCCACGTTATCCCATGTAATAACCCCTGGTTGGCTGGAGCTTACACAACGCCCCTGTACAACCGTGCCCACTGGCCACCTGTGTAAAAAATATATTGGGGGGGGGATTTGGAGAGGTTCTGCTTGCTGTGCGTCTTAGAAGACAAATCTCAATCGGCTGTTGTGCATGCTACTCCGTAGGCCGGTAGTTGGCCGGTAGTGGTGGGTGGCACGACGGGTGGAAGGCTTGGGGGGGGTACGTAAATGTACGCCCAATTGTTGATCTCTAGATGTGGCATCAGCAAGGCAGAGTCGGAGCTCGCTGAACGTTCGACGGTAGGTAGCGCATTGATATCTCGTATGTGCAGGACGTGTTTGGCTATCAGTGCGTTGCCCAGAGATCCTCAAGGAATGTGTGTGCACCGATCGAAAATAATGGCCGGGGTCGACAAAAAGAGTTCTTTGGCTCTGCTAGGCCGTGCGGGCTGGGGATCTTTTTTTCCGCGATGATGTTGATGGTGATGGAGAGGAGGTGAAGGAGGCACGTACGTGGAATAATACGACTACGACCTTAATTGAGTCTTGTTTTCTTCCCTCTGACGGTCGCATGTGTGTGCACATTGCCTGCTCCTCCAGTTGTTGTTGTTGTTGTTTCTCACATTAGCTCTATAGTCCACAAAAAATGGGGAGCCCGTGGTCTCAAAACCCGGCACATACGACGCCGCGGGGAAACAAAACAAAAATAGGGTACAAACCACTCACTCGGAACAAGCAAACAAAATGACAAGAATTGAACAGGTAGGTATCGCACCGACCGTTCGTTCGAGTAAAGAGCCCTCGGAAACCGATCAAAAAAAAACAAAAACAAACCTTGCTGGTGCCTTCGGCTGACCCAGGACTTCGAAAAATCCCCACAGGTACGAACAAACTCCTTTGTGTGTGGTCGAAGATGGACTGCGTCTCTGTACAAACCCAACATGCCACCATGCACAACATACTACTGCTGCCGTTCACCTGTCGCCGTCCTTCCACGTCTAGTCTACCTGTCCATGACACATACATGCTGCCACTTCATGCGACAACATCTGGGAACAACACGGACACAGGGAGTACCCCCGTACCCATACGCACAACCTCTCATTCCTCCCTTGTCAAACATAAATGATGTAGCATGCATGAAATGATAATCAAGACGCCGAAAACAGGCGAACAAGATCGACCTCGAACCAGTCAACGCCAATGATATGGGGATGGAGTGTAGACGCATCGTAGAACGCGTTTTCGTTTGAAGTTGGCGACTTGTTTGAGAGTAGATGTGACAGATTTTCGTAGAATAGGGTAGTAAGTAAGATGTTATCATGAACGGAGATGAAAGGGCTTTTCCAACACGGAGATGTAGCATGGATCAAAGCATTTATTTGTTGGATTTCAGCTTTTACAAGAGGACATCAACGCAGTAGTATTTTAGCAAGCTTACGAACGCATATATATAGGATACCATGAGGATTGTCATTGGTTTTATTTCAAGTTGAAGAGAAGATATTTTTACGATGTAAGTGACAGTAGAAATAAGTCCTGCATATGTTGTTGTACTTCGTACTGGTTTAATATTTATGTAGAGTATGAGACATCAAGTGAAAGTTTTCTGAGGTACATCTGCAATTAATTGTCGGAATGCAAAAAAATAAAATATAAATAAACTCTGTCCACAAATAGAAGAGGTAGCCATACCTTCTGCCTACACACGGACGAGAGAGGTGAACACACCCACTGCATTTAACACACACGCACACGTCGGTGATGAAACCTCATCAACCACACGCCTCTATCATCGGCGACCACGTCATCATCAGGAGGCAATAATGAGTAAATGTTCTCCCGTACCCTTCGCACATTTGAAATTTCACAACATAACATCTATGAGACATGCAAGACAGCTACCAAACATTTTTTTTTTTGAGCCTGTCACCCGCAGGAAAGTTGTCCCTATATGCTGTCTAGGAAATCGTAGGCATACAGGTAGTTTTCTCCGACGCTATGATTCCATTGTTAATCTGTCTCTGACTCTTTTCTATGATAAAGATGGACTCGTTGTGTCATATGTATATACTTCTAGTATATTATTGTGGGCACCACATGTCAGTATATAAGGCTTGGGGCACCATACTCCCTCGTGTCGGGCAAACACCCTTTTTACAGTGTAGCGTCAGCGGCAGGATGTCGTTACTTCAATATCAAAGTCCCGGGTTCGAATCGGGGGACGTGAAAATGTGTTTTTTGTCCGCCGCCAGCCGGTCGGGTTCCAGTTACCGTACCTATGCCCAGGCCCTCATCCAGGCAGGCTGCGAAGAAACCATCGAGGCCACCGTGCGCCAACGGAGACTGTGTTTCGCGGGCTTCGTTATGCGCATGGAGGACAGCCGCCTCCCCAAGCGCATGCTGTTAGGAGCGATGGCGGGGGGCGTGGGATACCGGGGCGGGCAGGAGAGCGACTGGGTGTCTCGTCTAGGAGAGGACCTCGTGGCCTTCAACAACATGGGAGACGAAAAGGAAGGGGGGAAATGGAAAGAGAGCGCCAAGGACTTGGAGGTGTGGTACAACAAGGTCGAGGACGGGGAGGCATGGTTCATGAGGAAATGCCACAGGCAGGAGGCGGAAGCGTCCGCGAAGCGCCAGCGAGCGAGGGAAGCAGAAGCAGAGAGTACGACCATCTCAGGACCGAAGAGAAAGAGAACCGGCGAAGCGGCGGTGGGGGGGAAGAAACGGCGACCGGGCATTGCTGTAGAAGCGAGTAGGGCGGCCGAGGCAGCGCTTGTGACGAACTATGCACCCGGCTGATGTTGTTGTGCCCTGTTTCCCTCCCTGCCGTATGCTATACTCCTTTATGTATGTCCTTTTAATTGCCTTCGGCCTCTGTGCTGTGTTTCTTTTTTTCATGACCTCCCTGCCTACTCTGCTGTGTTGGGTACCTTGATCTCGCTTTGCTGTTGCCTTTGTTTTTGTACGTCTGGCTGTCTGCCCATCTGCCGCCTCTTTGCCCTGTTTGCTCCGTTACTCCCATGCCCTGGTGCGCAGTGCCTGGTGCTGGTACGTTACGTTACCCTTTCATTTTTTCTTTCGGCGGGTGTGGGAAGCGTCCTCCTTTATTTATTTTTTTTGTTATTTTTGTTTTGTTTTATTTTGATCGGTGTCCGAGGGCTCTTTTCTCGAACAGTAGGTGCGATACCTGTTCTTTTCTTTCTTTCGATCATTTTGTTTTCTTTTTCCGAGTGGTTTGTATCCTATTTTTTTTTTTTGTTTTCTCGCGGCGTCGTATGTGCCGGGTTTTGAGACCACGGGCTCCCCATTTTTTGTGGACTATAGAGGAGCTTATGTGAGAAACAACAACAACAACAACATGCTACGGGGGGTGCGTCGTGGTACCCGCGTATTTGCCGACGATGCTGAGCTGTCCGCTCGCTCGTACCCGGGGGGGTATGTGGGCACCACATGTCAGTATATAAGGCTTGGGGCACCTTATCTCGTGTCGGGCAAATACCCTTTTTACATTATTATTATTTTGTTTGCCCTCCAACAATTGCAGATAAATGCAGACACACATAAAAAGTCGATCGTAAAGGCCGTCATGCCAAGCCAAATTAACTCGATGCCCAATAGCTAGGAATGTTTGCCTCTGAGTCAACAAAACTTCGGTTGAAACACTACAGCTGAACTCTAGGCACGAACCTTAGATGGAGAAAAACGACCAAAACCCCAACCTCATCCACCCGAAATCAAACAAAACTCGGCCCCGTCTTCCCTGGTACCCCTGACACCGTATCGAACAGAAATCCGCTTTCCACCGAAGTGGATAGGTTAAAGCTGTCGCACGCATGTTTCGGCGCGCAAAAGTCTGTGGGGCATTGCTGATCGATACTGCCACCGGTCACACCAAGAGAGAAACACCCGCCGTCTTGATCTTTCTGAGGCACCCCCCACTCAAGCCCATGTTCCCCCAGACCCCCGACACTGCCACCCCCTGTTCCCACTTCCTTGCCACCTGCAACCACAAGGGCCAAGCCCTCCCCCCTCGGCACTCCCGACACCGTATCGAACAGAAATCCGCTTTTCACCGAAGTGGTTAGGTTAAAGCTGTCGCACCCATATTTCGGCGCACAAACGTCTTTGCGGCATTGCTGATCGATACTGCCACCGGTCACACCAAGAGAGAAACACCCGCCGTGTTGCTCTTTCTGAGACACCCCCCACTCAAGCCCATGTTCCCCCAGACCCCCGACACTGCCACCCCCTGTTCCCACTTCCTTACCACCTGCAACCACAAGGGCCAAGCCCTCCCCCCTTCAGCACTCCCGACACCGTATCGAACAGAAATCCGCTTTCCACCGAAGTGGTTAGGTTAAAGCTATCGCACGCATGTTTCGGCGCGCAAAAGTCTGTGCGGCATAGCTGATCGATACTGCCACCGGTCACACCAAGAGAGAAACACCCGCCGTCTTGATCTTTCTGAGGCACCTCCTACTCAAGCCCATGTTCCTCCAGACCCCCGACACTGCCACCCCCTGTTCCCACTTCCTTGCCACCTGCAACCACAAGGGCCAAGCCCTCCCCCCTCAGCACTCCCGACACCGTATCGAACAGAAATCCGCTTTCCACCGAAGTGGTTAGGTTAAAGCTGTCGCGCCCATATTTCGGCGCTGTGGGGCATGGCTGATCGATACTGCCACCGGTCACACCAAGAGAGAAACATCCGCCGTCTTGCGCTTTCTGAGGCAACCCCCACCTAAGCCCATGTTCCCCCGGACCCCCGATACTGCTAACCCCTGTTCCTACTTCCTTGCCACCTGTAACTGTTGGGCGTACTAGCGGGACCTCACCGCTGTTGTACGTTGTGGTTGGCGTATGTGACGCAAGAGGCTCGGGTAGAGAAACACAGAGTGATCATTATTTCACTCATCGGCGTCCAAGCTGTCTTCACCTGACGGTGACAGACTTCGATACACGCCTTCACCATACTGCACCAAACCCTGCAGTAGAATAGAGTCTGTTCTTGCCCACAATTCTCCCAACATGTCCTCTCAAGAGCTACGTCATTCCAGCTCTGATACATGAGACACGAAATTCTCTCAATCTCAATGTCCTCTCGAAACAATACCAGTGTCCTCTCGACAAATGTGCTATCGACGTGAGTGCATGCTCTCGAACCAACTCCTAAATATGTACTCATTGATTGCATCGAAATGTTCTTCTACTTTCCAACGTTTGTTATTCTACAATAATATTCCATGCACCATCCAACCCTTGAGACATAATGTCTGATTTCGGTAATGGGGAGGTGTTTACACTCCAAGCAAGAGAAGGCGGTTCTGGAGGAACTTCACAGCTCCCTGGCTTTTAGTCAGGATGTCAGCCTTCTGCAAGTTAGTCTCGATGTACTTGACGTCGATGATTTTCTTTTCCTCTAAGTACCGAACGTGGTGATACTTGACGTCGATATGTTTAGTACGGGGCGTGAGTTTGGCGCCCTTAGCAAACGCTATAGCGCCTGTGTTGTCCTCAAACACTACCGTGGGCTGCTCCTGCTTCATGTTCAGCGACTTCAGCAAATTACGAAAGTGGATGACAATAGTGCACGCCTTGGACAGGGCAACGGCTTCAGCCTCGAACGTTGAGATGGCCAGCACCGTTTGCTTCTTGGATATCCAGTCCACTGGGGCACCTGCGAGATAGAGAACGGCACCGGTTGTGGAGTAGCCTTTGTCTTGGTCACCTGCAAAATCAGAGTCCACGTACGCCGTGAGTTTATCTCCGCCGTCGGCGTCTTCGGTGTATGTGATTCCGATAGAGGTCGTTCCTTTTAGATACCGGAGTACCCGCTTCAGCTTTGTCATCGCTCTGGGACCTGGCTTCGCCATACTCTTCGCGAGCACCATCACCGAGTGTGTTATGTCCGGTCTTGAGCCCCTGCTGAGATACAGAAGGCTACCCGTGGCGGACCGGTAGTATTTGGTGTCCTCTGGAGATAAAACCTTCTCCTCCTCGATGCTGATAGGTCCAGGTTCCGCCGGTGTCTTCACCGGGCGCGATTCGGCCATTCCGAACTGGTCGAGCACGGTCTTTGCGTACGTCTCTTGAGAAAGGAATATGGTACCGGCGTCGACGTTCCTCTCAAGCTTCATACCAAGCAGGTGCTGAGCATCCCCCAAGAACACCGTGTTGAACCGTTCCTTCAGCAGATCAACGACCATCATGACCTTCTCCTCGTCCTTCCCCGACAGCAGGATGTCGTCAACGTACACGAGAAGGATAACTCCTTCCGCTTCGAGAATGTAGAGACAGGGGTCTGCTTTACTCTGTACGAACCCTTTCTCAATCAGGAAGTCGTGAAAGGTGCTGCACCAGCCTTTCGGGGAGAGACGAAATCCGTAGAGCCATGCCTTTAGCCCCCACACCTGCCGTGCTTGTTCTGGAGAGCATTCGAAACCTTTCGGAGGACAAACATAAATCGGGTCTGCGTTAGCGGGGATCCTGGCATGTAGGAACGCTGTCTTGATGTCAGCCTGTTTTAGAACAAAGCCATTCTGAGCAGCGACGGCGACTACTAGATGTACCGCCTCCAATGTCGCCACTGATGATGCCTTGTCTTCCCCCGTGTCTTCTTGATGGAAGCCTTGGACCACGATACGACTCTTCAGTCGAGCTAGTTCTCCGTCTGCTGCGTACTTCCGTTTGTATAGGTATCTTGACGGAAGTATATCACCGTCCGCCGGCCGTTTCACCCAATCGTATACGTCGAGTTCCGTGAGCGAACGATTTTCTTCGCGCATACTCTCCCTCCAGTGGTCAGCATCTGGTCCACGTGTTGCGTCGTCGTAGTTGGTCGGGTCGGGAGGCCTGTAACCTATTTCTCCAGGGTTGCCCGTCCCGACGTTTCCGAGTACACCCCCTGTCAGAAGAGCTTGTTCCACCTGCTGATAAGCATCCTCCTCCGAGGTCACCGTAAATAGATTCAACCTTTGCGGCGGTGCAGATGCCCTGGCGCTCCGTCGTGGTTCTGGAACAGATGGTGTCGACTCTGCAGTACTTTGGTCTTCTTCTTCATCGCTATCGTCGTTAGTTTCTTCTTCGTTAGATTCTGCCATACCAGGCTGGTAGATTGTCGTGTTTGGCACAGGAAACGGATCGCGCCCTACTTTGGGTTTAACCACGTCGCGCATCTCCTTTTCACGGAAGGATACTTCGGCAGAGTTGGTGATTTTAGAAGGCTCCGCAGGATCCCACAGTCTGTACGACCTACCCTTGGTATTATAGCCTACCATATACATCTTCTTGGCCCTGGCCGCAAGCTTGTTGGGACGGAAACGCGCTTCCTCGTGTTTGAAGGCCATCGAACCCCATTCGTGAATGTGCAGCAGATTACCTAGCGGCTTACCCTCCCATACCTCGAGTGGGGATTTGCCGCCCAGGACTTCAGTTGGTGTGCGATTCTTGAGATAGATGGCGGTCTGGAATGCTTCAGCCCACAGCTCGCTGGGAAGGTGCGGTGCGCCCAGCATTAGTTTGCGAGTAGTTCCGATGATGGTGCCAAATCCACGTTCTGCGATGGAGTTCTGCTGTGGAGTGTATGGAGCGCTAGTTTTGACCGTAATTCCGAGGGACTTGCACAGCTCCAGGAATCTGCCCTGGAATTCTCCTGCACCATCGCAGTGCATCGTGCCGATGCTTTGCCCGATCGGGTCGGCTACCTCCCGGACAAATTTGTGGAGAGACTCCGCCGTTTCGTCTTTTGTCGTGATTGGGAAGCCGAACCTCATGCGAGAAAACACGTCAGTGAACATCACGGTACTCTGGCAGCCCCCAAACGACTTGATGGGGTGCTTCCCCCACACGTCGGCGCACATAATCTCTAGCCGGGTTTCAGAGTGGGGGTGATCAGATGGAGGGTGACTGCCCTTCTTGCTATCCCCGACCGCGCATACGCTGCAGTCACCTGACTCGATGTTGTGATGGAGCTTTACTCCAGTGGTATCCATTTCCGCCAGCTGCTGCAGTGCACGCGGATTGCAGTGGCCCATCCTCCGGTGCCACAGGTGAGCGTCGACCTTGGTGCGATACACTTCTACATCGTCCATGTTGAGATCGTCAATGATGACGTTTATCATGTACATGCGAGGCACAGCGATTGATATCGGAAAGGCCTGGTCGCCGCGTCGGAGCGCCGGAGGCATAGACATTAAATCGCACTTAACCCCCTTTTCGGCCAACGCTCCAACCGACAGAATATTCGCTCCTAGATAACGAACCAGGAGGACGTCCAGTGCCACCGTCACAATGTTGCCATGCTCACTACGAATTCCAAACTTCAGGGTGCCTTTCTTGGTAGCGCTAGATGTTCCGCACGACCCGATGATACGCACGGCGCAGTCCACTGGGTCGAACACACGCTTGGACATGCGGGATTCAGCGTCTACCATATGGCTCGACGCCGCTGTATCTATGTAGAGCGTCGTATCACCAACATCCTTCGACTCCTTGTCCACTTGAAACACGCTAGTGTACCTTACCAGCTCTGTCACTTTCTCGGCCGGAGAGTCAGGAGGGGTAGTGAGATCGAGGTCCGTCGCTGCCGCAGGCTCCGCGAATTCCTGCAGGTCGTCAGTGGCGCGCACATTCGGCAGCGCCGACTCGGGCACATCGTGCGTCTGCTCATCTCCAGCAGCGCACTCCCATACTTGCGGATCATATATTACGACTCCGTCCGGCAGCGCCGGTGCAGCCGCGTCTTGCTCCTGGTCACCAGCAGCAGCGCGCTCCCTCGGCAACGCCACAGCAGGGGCGTTCAGCTCCTGCTTGTCGTTATCGAAGACGATGGCGAAATCTTCAAGCTCATCGTCCGCCGCCTCCACCCGCGTGTACCAAGCCTGCGTGGTGGAGTCTTGCGTGTTGTGCACCTGTCCTGTGTTGTTGTCCTCCGCCTCGTGCCTCCGGCGGAGCGGGCATTCGTCCCACCCGTGCTCGGTGCTGTTACGGCAGTATCTGCAACGTCCTTGACGGTTGCGGCCGGTATCCTGAGCCCGACCACGACCTCCAGAGTTTCGGCTCCTGCGATCATTCCCGCGTCCGCCATGCGCATTTCCCGCGCTGTCTCCTCCGGAGGTTCCGTTGTTGTTGTTGTTGCCGTTCGACCCACTTCCACTGGTCGAACCGTCTGTAATTCGGCCGCCATTACCTCGGCGGCTGCGTCCACCACGGCCGCCACGGCCGCCACGCCTGCGGAGACCACGTGCTCCTTCGTGCGCGACAGTGTTCAACGCACGGCCGTGGCTGCCTGAACCGTCACCATGTTCAGACATTTCTCCGCGAATTTGCATGGCATGATACGAAGTTTCACGGCGCGCTATCTCCTCGAATACGCTTCCGAGGATTGTCTTTTCGCTCATCAGGACATTCTTGAACGAGCCATACTGTCCATAAGGGAGGGCTCGTAGTAGGGCACCTGCTTTCCATGTTTCCACAACTGTATCTCCTAACTTGTCCAGTTCGAGGCAGATGCGGCGCAACTGTTGAATCGCTCGGGCCGGGTCGTACTTGTCGGCTGCAGTGACCATCACGGAAGTAAGCTCCTCATGGAGCTGTTGCATGCGAAATACACCCTCAACACGGTACTTCTGCTGGAGAGCAACGAACGCACCTCGTCCATCACCATACTCCTCGTCACCGACTGGCCCATGCTGCTGTACCACTTGCGAAGCAGGGCTGGAGTATCCATCCGGGCCATCAGACGTGGCCAGAGGCAGTCTCGTATACACTTTTCCGTTGTTTTCCTTGAACTTTAGGGCAATTTTCTCGTGTCCCGCGATTTGAGTGTCGATCGCTCCCGCTGGCAAAGGAGCAGGAGCAATCTCCGCTCCCGACATGACCCTACTCAGTCCAGCTTCGGACATGAGGGACCGAGTCAGCGTGACCCAACCCTCGAATCGGACCGGATCCCCGCTGAACGGCACATAACCCCTCTGGAGATGATTCAATGATTGCGCCATGTTGACTCAACGTAGTTCCCCTACCACGCGAGGCTCATAACCTGTTGGGCGTACTAGCGGGACCTCACCGCTGTTGTACGTTGTGGTTGGCGTATGTGACGCAAGAGGCTCGGGTAGAGAAACACAGAGTGATCATTATTTCACACATCGGCGTCCAAGCTGTCTTCACCTGACGGTTACAGACCTGGATACACGCCTTCACCATACTGCACCAAACCCTGCAGTAGAATAGAGTCAGTTCTTGCACACAGTTCACCCAACAGCAACCACAAGGGCCGAGCCCTCCCCCCTCGGCACTCCCGACACCGTATCGAACAGAAATTCACTTTCCACCGAAGTTGTTAGGTTAAAGCTGTCGCACGTATATTTCGGCGCGCAATAGTCTGTGCGGCATGGCTGATCGATACTGCCACCGTTCACACCAAGAGACAAACACCCGCCGTCTTGCTCTTTTTGAGGCACCCCCCACTCAAGCCCATGTTCCCCCAGACCCCCGACACTGCCTCCCCCTGTTCCTACTTCCCCGCCACCTGCAACCGCAAGAGCCAGGGTCCTTTCTCGTCGCACCCTAAGAAAGACGCCAAAACAGTCAACGACAACAACTGCGCGCGGAAAACATGTGCATGCCGCCGACGTATGTTCAAAGGTTTCTACTCAGTAGTGATCTGCCATCATTCCTTTGACGTCTGTCAATCTTCTGTTCAGGTTTCAGAGATCTTCTAGACGCTCTTTGCACCCAATCCTGCTCTCGGTACCTCGGCTCTGTCTGCTGCTGCTGGACCTAGCGACCGCCTNNNTTCTACTCAGTAATGATCTGCCATTCCTTTGACGTCTGTCAATCTTCTGTTCAGGTTTCAGAGATCTTCTAGACGCTCTTTGCACCCAATCCTGCTCTCGGTACCTCGGCTCTACCTAGGGACCGCTTTGCTCGATCTCCGATCGATCACGGGGTCGCGAGCACAGTTCCGTTCGGGCCTCCACGTGTGTGTGTGCTCCCAGCACGCGTGTCTCGAAGCTGCCTTCTCCTCGGCCCCTTTGACTGTTGCTTCCTCCCGCTGCTGCTGCTGCTGCTGCCTGTCCCCTGGTCTTCCTCTCACCACGCTGAGCTGCTCCGGCCGATGACCCTTCCAGAAGCGAGGCTGCAGGATCTCCGATCGAGCTTTTGTTTGGATCTCTCGAAAACGACTCTCCGGCACCACGTGTGTGTGTCGCGCACACGTGTTCCGATGTTGCCCTCTCGTCGGTACGTGCGGCTGCCTCTGCCGCTACTGCTGCTGCTGCTGCTGCTGCTGCTGCTGCTGCTGCTGCTGCTGCTGCTGCTGCTGCTGCGTCCTCCGCTGTGGGCAATTTGCGGCGGATCCGCCTTGTACGACCTACGATCAGTGGATCGTCGCCGCAATGGATCCAAACCGACTTCAACAAGCCCTCACCTCTACCAACCCCTTCACTGCTACCTCTTATGTTTCCCTTCTCCAACATATCTCTCCACGCTTCTCCACGCGGATTTTCATCTCTCGGTGCCTGAACTCTTCTTCCAGGCCGACTTTTTCGCACAATCTCCTATGAAGTCTATTTGGATCTTCCGCGAAGCAAGCACGTCGACGGGACAGGCACCGCCCTGTGTGTGTCTGTGCACACGTGCCACCACCGCACTCCGGTCGATGCTGTCTATGCTGTCGTTTCTGTCTCTGCTTCCCCCCTACTGTGATTGTTGTCGTTTCCTCAGCTGCTGCCTGCGGTTTTCAGCTGCTGCAAAGCCCGTGTAGCCCGACCCGCGCAGGATATATGCACAACCTTTGCTTGGATCTTCCCCGAATCGATCTTGACCTGACGGGGACACGTGTGCTTCTACACAAGCGTCCCCGCCACACACACTGGTAGCTGTCCCGCACCCGAAGCCGAGAAAGGAGCTATTATTGTGTATGGCAACTCGACGAGTCAAATCGTATTTGCCAGGTTATCTCGGGAAACGGATATACTCCCTTTTTTCTTTTTTATGGAAACGGTGAGACCACTCCCGTGTGCCCGCACATCAGCCGCGTATTTGTTGTTGTTGTTGTTGTCTTCACATTAAACCGTATGTCAGTTGCAAAATGCCAAAATCTAGCAAAAAAAAAAAAAAAGACTCTCAGCCCGTGGTCACGAAAGTGCTAGAGCCATCTGAGGATCTAAAGAACACGCGCACATGTAACGAGAAAAAGGTATCCAAGCGCCCGAAGAGGTACACCTAAAAATCCCTGCAGCACCCTATGCGTGCCCAAAAACTGAACTGCACGTCCGTCCCACCGTTCGACTACAGTAGCATCACCCCCTCCCTGTCCCACTCTATACCAAAACGGAAGATTGCCGACTACAGCATACTGCTGTCTGAAGTGCTGTCTGTACAAAAACACCATGGTAGGCATGGATGGAACAAGCAGCTGGCGGGGCACAAAGCTGCTGTCTGAAGTGCTGTCAGAATGTGTCTGCGGCCGTACAGTGAAAAATGAAGAACGTATACTCCGCACATATACAAATGCATACAAACCGAAAATACGTTTGTAAACTGATGGAAATTGCATGTCCTACAACTAACAGGGTGCGACACACAAACGCCCGACTAACCAACAGTACCCAAAACCTTCGCCTGCACCTTCCCAACATAACATATACTATGAGACACACAAGACAGCTACCAACCTGATTTGTTGAGCCTGCTATCCGCAGGGGAGATGTCCCTATATATATGCTGTCTGGGAAATCGTAGGCATACAGGTAGTTTTTTCTGACGCTATGATTCCATTGTCAATCTGTCTCTGACTCTTATCAATGTTTGTTGTTGTTGTTGTTGACTTCACATTAAACCGTATGCCAGTTGCTAAATGCCAAAATCTAGCAAAGACTCTCGGCCCGTGGTCACGAAAGTGCTGGAGCCATCTGAGGATCTAAAGAACATGCACACGTGACAAGAAAAAGGTGTACAAGAGCCCGAAGAGGTACTACTACACCTATCTATATATAATCCCTGCAGCACCGTACGCGTGCCCAAAACTGAACTACACGTCCGTCTCACCGTTCGACTACAGCAACATCACCCCCTACTTGTCCCACTCTGTACCAAAACGAATGATTGCCGACTACAGCATACTTGCTGTCTGAAGTGCTGTCTGTACAAAAACACCATGGTAGGCATGGAACAAGAAGCTGGCGGGGCACAAAGCTGCTGTCTGA